TTCACAGTTTTCTCCTTGATCCATAGGCCAGAATCATCATTTTCTCAACTGTCTTCTTATAGCCCCTACACCTTGGCTATTGGAGATTCTCGACTGTCTTCCCAGCTAGAGGTACTTTCCCCACCAAGAATTGTATCAGGGTCCCTAAACCTTGTATATTTGCTCCTGGGTCTTGTCTCCTTACCTAGGTATTCAGCTGCCTCCCCTTCCCCAATGCCCTTTCCCTAGGAATTTTGGAACCCCCTTTTCCTCAATGAAGATCATATATTCAAAAGCAGTTTATGAGTTGTAAGCACTGTATGAGAATAAAATACTCTCATGAATAAAGCCTTCTCTTTCTCCCCCCAGAATTTCTGTTCTTCTCTTATGATGTGCCTTATCCCTTCCTCCCCCCATTCACTGCTACTCCCTCCCTCACCCAGCAGGTTTGGTTTGGTGCTGTGTGGGGCCCAAAGCTATGTGCTGTACAGTAGGCAGTGTCAGGACACAGGCAGGCATCTCAGCCCGAGGCCTTGGCAGAGTTCCTAGGCAGAGCCATCGGCCCAAGCCAGGACAGTAAGCATGGATAAGGTGGGAGATGGCATAAGTACGGTGGCTGTAGCCCCCCAGCACCAGGAGCTCCCCCTCCAGCACAGCACCTGCAGCCCCCACATGGGGGGAAGGCAGGGGTGCCAGCTGAGTCCAGCTATTAGTCCTTGGTTCATAGGCCTCAAAGCTCAGCAAGTCCCCAGTCTCACCTAGCCCACCTGCTACATACAACCGCCCACCCAGAGCAGCCATGACATGGCCAGCTCTAGGTTCCCTCATAGGACTCAGAAGTGTCCCTGGCTTCTCAAGTTTGGGGTCATAGTGCAGCAATGAGGCCAGGCATTGGCCCGTCCCGTTGCAGCCACCACTCATGTACAATCGGCCTTCCAAAATAGCAGCTGCATGGGCAAAGCGTGGTGCTGGAAGTGCAGGTGCTGGCCTAAGGGAGAACAGGGCACATGATCAGGCAACAATCATCCTCAATTTTCCTTCTCCTCCAAGTCCCCTAGTCTCTCCTTGATGCCTAGAAAGCCCCTTTCCCTTCTCACCTCCAGACATTAAGCTCGGGGTTATAAGTCTCCACGGACTTGAGGGCAACACCATTGGCGCGTCCGCCCAGGGCGTAAAGTAGTCCATCCAGTGCCACCAGGGGAAAAAAACTCCGAGCCTGGCACAAAGGTGCCATCTCCTCCCAGTCCTCTTGACTGGGGTCCCACCTAGACACAGTGTGACAAGAGATGGGAAGAGTGACCCTGGGAGTGTGTTGTTTGGCTGGGCTAGCAATGTCCCTCTGCTGCCCACCTTGGAGCCTCCCACTCTTGGGGCAGGGGGCAGGAAAGGGGTGCCATACCTGAGAGTCGAAGCCAGGGTGTTGGAATGGCTGTAGAAATCCTGTCCCCCACACACGTAGAGTTCACTTCCTGCTAGGCTCGCAGCTCCATGTCGGAAGCGCCCTGGGGCAGGCAGGGCAGGTAGCCGCCCCCACTCCACAGTTCTCACTAGTCCCATGCCGCAGCAAAAGGCCCGGGCCCACCACACTCTTCGGGATGGTTGTCTTACGGCCATGTCTGATCTGAGCCCGTCCCCGCCAATCACTACCAGAGCCTGGTCAGGCTCCCTCCGCCTCACTTTACCTGGAACCTCAGCCTCCACCATCAGCTGATGCAGCAAGCCCTGAGTCAGGGGTGGAGGTAGCCCTTCTGCCCGTACTCTCCGCAGCTCCCTGATGGACATACGGCCAAAACGGACACATCGAAGCAGGGCCTTGGCCTCTGACTCCTGGGTCTCAGGGTTGGCAGCTAGCCAACACCGTGCAGCCATAAAGGCCTCTAACTCCTCCTGCATGTGTAGCTCGTCGCTATCCAGGAGCTCAGCCAGGCAGGCAGCTGGTAAAGAAGGGAAAGTGGGGCACAAAGCTACCGCAGGCAGGTGGGTGAGGAGGTAGTGACGGGCTTTTCTCCAGAGCCTCTCCAAGCCAGGGGCTTCAGACATGGAGAACAGGGCCAGGCAACGGGCAGGGCTGAGGCCCCGTGCCAAGGCCCTCAGACACAGAGCCAGGCAGGAGGAGCTCTGGTACTGCAGAGCAGCCTGAGCAGCTCTCAGCAGTCCTGGCCACTTTGCCTGTACAACCCCAGAGTAGGCAAAAGAGACAAGGAGTCGCAGGTCCTGGGCAGCGATGGTATGCAGAGACACCTTTGCGCCCTGGGATTCCTTCATCCCACTCAGGAGCATGGCCCCAAAGAACTCGCTGCCACAGGCTAGGGCTGCTCGGTGCACTGCAAGAGAGAGAAGCAGAGGGGGATTCAGAGTAATGAAAACTGCTAGGCAATATCCCAACTTTACAACCCCAGTTTTGGGCCAACCACCCAAGGCCACAGGCCAAACTGTGGTGTGCATCAGAATACCATGAGATGGTATTTAACAATAGAATACCATTTATTAAAATGCAGGTTTCAGAACCCACCTCCCAAGATTCTGATTCCATAGGTCTGGATGGAGATCCTAGGATTTCGTATTTTAACATTTTCAAGCACCCTGCATGATTCTCATGTTAGTGGTTGACAATACTTTGATAAACATTGCTTTAGTCTTTTTGATCCACATCAATTAGAAAAAGTCTTGATGGATCAAGTTGAGAAGATGCTATAGGCAGCATTTTCTAAAAGAGGGCACAAAATAAACTGCAAAGACTGATATGCAAATTATATAGTTCTCTCTATATTGTGCACAGAATAAAGTTCTTTCCTTTACAATTTTGAGAACCACTGATATCAGCCATTTTGTTAGATTTTATCACACTCAGGAATGACCGTGACCCAACCTACTCTGACTACCATCTCCTCTTGCCCAAGATCTTGCTTAAGATTTCGCATATATTCTAGCTTTCTTCTGCACATAGCCCTCCTCATCTTGACATAATTCATGGAATTATGAGATTTTAAACGGGCAACTTTCAAAATCGTCAAGTTCAATTGTTCCTTTTAAGATAATTGCTACAATGAGTATACTTGTGTATTGATACCCTACTTACTGGCCCTCATGACACTGAATCTGTCCTATTAACAAATTCTGTTAAACAACTATATATTTCATATGCTTCCTAATGTAACTCATGTGCATGCTTGGCATTACCTACAGAGTATTCTGACAGAAATAGTTAAGCTAAATCTAATCAAGCCTTTATATCTAAATTTAAATTTATAGGAAATTAAGAGGCTAAAAGAACAAGTTAAACAAAACCATGAGGGAAAACACATAAAAATGGAGCATTTTATAAGATAACTTATCTTGTTTCTTCAGTAAGTCAAGTCATAGAACAGGGAATGAGGATTGTACAAGAGTAAAGGAACCTTAAGAGATGTACATCTGTCTATGGGCATACCACCCTGAATGTGCCTGACCCCAGCTGATCTCAGAAGCTAAGGAGGGTTGGGCCTGGTTAATACTTGGGTGGGAGACCACCTAGGAATACCAGGTGCTGTAGGCATATAAAAAAAAGAGAGAGAGAGAGAGAGATGTACATCTGAGTATATAGCACAGTCCTTGATTGGCTCTTGGGTTGAACAAACCAGCTCTAAAAGACATTTTTTAGACAAGAGAGAAAACTTTAACATGGACTAGGTGATATTAAGGAATTATTGTTAATTTTGTTAGAAATGATAAAGGTATCATGATTAAATGAGAAAATATCCTCTTTTAAAGAGACACATACCCAAGTATTTATGAGTAAAATGTCACAGATTTACTTTAAACTTCAGCAAAAGATAAAGAGATGAAACAAATATATTAAAATGTTAATTGTTAAGTGTGGACAATGGGTGTTTGAGTGTTCATCTTAATATTCTCTTTACTTTGCTGTGTGTTAAAAATGTTTCATAATAAAGGGGAGGATGCTGCTAGAAGTCCTCTTAGGCAGGTGACAGAGGACCAAGCTCCCGGTGAGGCTTATGAACCTCAAGCTGCTTTGACCATTTGTGGCACGTTCACCTCTCTCAAAGGGCAGGTGATGTTGATATGGCTTTTCATTACCTTCATAAGTTGTAGGTAGTGGCTTAGTGCTTCCCAAGTGGTAAACCTCGGTGATAGCTTTTAAATATATATTGACAGAAAATCTGCATTCCTCAAAGCAGGTAAGCCATTTCATCTTCCATACTATCTATCAACCTATAGCTCAACTGTGAAAAGGCTCACAACCACCTGTATCCCCCTCTTATTCATCATTAGTCCCTAGAATTTTAAGTAAAAATTTTCCACCATTAAGATGGAATGTTTCTTAGGGAAATAAAAACAGTGACATAAATATGTTTAAGTTCCAAACCCTAGTGAGAATTTTATAACTATGAAATTTTAAATTCTCCCTCCATCCAGTGCTATCAGAAATGATAACAAACACTTTAGAGATCTGCTATAAACTGAATGTTTGTGTCCCCCAAAATTCATATGTTGAATCCCCAGTGTAATGATATTTGTAAATTTGTAGATGGTACCTTTGGGAGGTAATTAGGTATAAGAGTGGAACCTTCATGAATGGGATTACTGCACTTATAGAGACATGAAAGAGATTCTCTCTCTCTCTCTCTCTCTCTCTCTCTCTCTCTCTCTCTCTCTCTCATAAGGCATTTCTTCTATCTTTTGCCCCCCAAAAAAACCCTTCCCTCCCTCCCTCTCTCTTTCTCTCTCAATCTCTCTGCCATGTGAAAATACAATGACAAAGTGGCCCTCTGCAAACCAAGAAGAGGACCCTAACCAGACACTGACCAGGCTGGCACCCTAATCTTGGACTTCTAGTCTCCAGAACTGTAGAAAATAAATGTCTGTTGTTAAACTACCCAGTCTATGGTATTTTTTGTTATAGCAGCTCAAGCTGACTAAGACAGGACTTTTCCTTCTGGGAATCCCAGAAGCACTTTGGGTCCCAGTCATTCCTTTAATGAGCAATAACTATGTGACTCTGGACCTTTCTTGAAGTTCACTTTTTTTTAAATCGATAAAGTATAAGAGCTTAACCAGATAATCTCTAAACTAATCCTTTTTAATTTTAGATGTTATATGTCTACATCCCAACTCCATTTGCCAGTTCCTATGTGCCTTTGATTTGGCTGCACAGAATGTAGTGCATGGCATAGTGAAAGCAGACTAGGCTAGTGGATATGGGCTTATAACCTGATTTTCACAAGTTAACATCTTTGAGTTTAATGTTCTTTAACTGCGCCTAGGGATAACAGTACCTACCTCACTAGTTTTCAGTGAGAATTTAAAAAGGTGGCATATGCAACAATTTGTAGAACCTAGTACCTCACTATATGTCAGCAGAATCTGAATAATATTCAATTTATTCAGCCCTCCTTAGCTTTCTTGGTGAAGAGCAGAGTTAACTTCAAACTGCCATGGCTGGGTAGCCTCCAGATTCTAGCAAAACTGTACCAGACCTTGCTCATCAGCTGTAGGGACACATCTGCCATGGTGTCAAGCACACTTAGGTGAAAGGACACACTGAGTTTTAACACCATATTCCTCTGGCTTTCCCTGTGTCCTAAATAGAAGACTCCAAGAAGGGCCTTTGGTTAATCCCTGTTCAAGTCAATCACTTTCTGCTTGTTCTGCTGGCATGGGCTGCACCCTTAGCTTCAGCCAATTGGCTGAAAATTCCTTGTTACTGGGCACAGGAAGAGCCACAGCATGGTGAGTCAATTTAAATCTGTCACAACTCCTAGGAAAACAACTCAACTGCGCATGCCCCACTCCCAGTGGGCCAGGAGATGCACCAAAGGCCACCCCAGGGAAATTCTGCAGCAGGGATCAAAACCACCACTATGATAGAGATCAAACCATCTGCTGCTTGCACACACCAACCATTCCAGTAGCATTTGCACCTGCAGTAATTTAATGCCCAACAGGCCCTCACCCCGCAGCTGGCAGGCGCCTGCCTCTAGCTCCAGGTCACACCCGATGCCCTCTTGGTATAGGAGCTCGATGCTGCGCAGATTCTCCCTCAGCTCCTCTGCCTGGCTGGGCCGTTTTTCATCATCCTGGGCGCTTCCAGACCTCTTGCCTTTCCCCTGGGCCACAGCCTTCACCCGTGGCGCTCCCAGGGCCTCAGCAGCAACCAGCACATCCCCAGGCGGGGCGGGACCCAGCACCCCCTCATAGGCAAAAGTCAGCACAGCCTCCCAGGCCCCGGGGGCCACATCGAGGCTGAAAGGAGGTTGCGGACCTCTGATGCCCTGCAGCCTGCCTCGAAAGAGGCTGCTAACTGCGGCCAAGATCACCCGATGCACCCCATATACTCGCCCCGCAACTAACACCTCTTCATCCAGCAACAACCTCTGCTCCCGCAGCCGCTGTGCCTCCGCGAAAAACTGGCTGGGATGCTCCTCGCTGCACAGTCCCTCAGGCTCCGTGGAGTCTTCTTCATCTTCATTGTCTTCCCCCTCTAGGGACAAGGCTGGAGAGGGGAGGTTCCCTGGTGCCATAGACCTGAGGCCAGGCTCTTCCAGAGGAAAGAGCGGCAAACCAGAATCTTCGTCCGGGGTCCGAGGCCAAGAGGGGTTTCTCAGGCCGGGCAACGGGAAGCCGAGGCCATCCTTCTGGACTGGAAGGGAGACGCGCCCTGGACGATGCTGGGAGTCCGAGACGCTCATAGTTCAAGTTCGCTGGCTTGCTGCAGATGCGCAAAGGAGAGGAGGGGGCCAGAACTAGACCCGGAGAGGCTGGTGGAACCCCTGCTTCCAGACCGGCACGTTTCAGTCTCTCTCTCTACTTCAAACCCTTCTAACCACCGCCTCCTGTCTCCTCTGGCACTCCACTCCAAGGCTCGAACGGTCAGGCTATACCATGCAACTATGGGATTCACAAGGTACAGCAAAGCGTGCAAGAGGCATAGGTAAAGATCCACTACCGGAGCCCACACCCCGCCCGTCTTGCCCCCATCTGGGTAGTCACTCTCCCGAGACACCAGAGTTCTGTTTGCCCTCTCACTTTAGCCTGCTCTGCTTTGGCCGGTGGCAGAGGGAACTCGCCCAGCATCCCCGTCAGCGGCTGCACCCGGCTAATTATAGCCAGTGCTGGCAGGCTTGGGGCTCGGCTCAGGGTGCCCGAACTCAGACACCCAATCCCCTGGGCCCCGTCCCGAGATGACCTCTTCCCCCTTCCACCTGTAGGTCATGTCTTGGTGCTGAGCGAGGCAAATTCGGATGCCAAGGATGCGAAGATCCAGTGGAGTGAGTCAGGCCTCAAAGGCTGTGTTCATCCGATAGGGCGGAGGAGGTGGGCAAGAGTCTGGGCTGTGCAGACCGGCGGGAATGTGGGGCGAGAGCAGTAGAGCATGCATTGGGTTGGTTTGGGGCTTTGACTGTTGATTTTTCCGTGCAGGATAAAGCTGGGACTCTTGGAGCACAGCAATGACTGGAAACACAAACGCACACGACTGGGCCATGAGGGCGGAGGGGTTGGGGAGGTGAAGCTGCAAGGGTCAGAACAGCTCACCCTAAGTAACCCACCCCCAGCGCCCGTTTCTTCCATGTCCAGAGGTGAGGTAGGTGGTGAGATAGCAAAATCCAACCCCGTGTCTTCAGAAGATTCTGCTAGAGTCTAACCCTCACCTTGGTCGCTGGGATGACACCAGAAAATGGAATGCAGGGTTGATCTTTGCTGCTGCGGGGACTGGAGTCCTGGACTTCAGTGGAGTAGGGGCGTGTAAGCATTCTGTTTGAGGCAGAACAATGACAGCCACACACTCTGCCTGGGACAACACCCTTCTCATCCTGAGACCTCTAAATCCAAGCAACTACTTTCCCCTGCAGTTCCAGGTATCTTCAAGAAGACATTTAGAGAAGGGGGCAGCAATCACCCTTCCTTCCCCTCTACCAGAGAGGTAGGACAGGCCAAAGGCTGCTGGGACTGGATTCCCTGTCCTATATAAAGGCTGGTCCAGGATGGATAGATTAACATAACAACCTGACTTAACTGGGGAGCCAAGCAAGATTGTTCTTTAAGACTTGAGTAAGAGGGGTGGCATTAGTGTGAAAGAGGGCGGGCAGGTGAGTAGCTCAACACAGAACCCTCTCCATGCAGTGGAAGTCTTAGGCAGGCAAGGGGAAATAGAGATGGGGGTGAGAAGGCCAAGGGGATGATTGTGAGAGCTAGTCAGATGAGAGAGGGGCCAAATGTGGGGAGCTATGGGATTTTGTTTATGTGTGTAGCTGGCAGAGCAGATTTCCAGGGACTCAGACCTGAAATTAGATGGTTTTGCCTGGAGAGACTGCACATGCCAATTCTTTAAGGTGAAAGTAAGAAGGATTCATTCTGAGGACCAAATGAGGTGAGCACCAGTCAAAACTACTGGATGAGAAATGCTGTTTTCTGCCCCCAGATATTTACAATCTTGAGGTTCATCTCTCTGGCATAGGAAGGGACATTTTGCGGTTTGGGGCAAGAAGGAAATTTAGCCACACTCTTTTATAGAAAGACGCTGGCAGGAAAGGAAATTGGAGGATTGGAGAGGAGAGTGAAGATGAGACAATGAGAGGAAGTAGAGTAGTATTTATTCCTCCCCTTTGATTCACATTTCTCCTTTTTTGAGGTGGGATACCCTATGATATTCCAGGACCAAATTCTTCCTGATCCTCCTCTCTTTTATCAACTACCTCCTTGAGGCATTCCTCCCCACAAACCCCAGCCGAAACCCACTGGCTTCTTTGAGTACCTAGTGAGACAAGCTGGCTGAGAAATGTGTTAAAGGGCATGAATGCCTCAGAATGTCACATTAGCCCAAACCTCCTCAGAAAAGACCCTTTGACCTGCGATTCTGTATGACATTTACAAACTGACCATCAGACCACTCTGAGTCCTATAAATGCCTGGGCATTCTCTTATTCTTTCCAGCCTCACCTAAGTCACTGGCACTAAACTGAATAGAGGGGTAATGATCTTGGCTGAATGGAGGGAAGCCAGGAGGTCCTCCTAAAGACCCTATCTTTTCTCTCTATTCTTTTATGTCGGGAGTATTTTCTTAGAAAATGTGGTCCCGCAGTGGTGTGGGCCAAAGGGCAGTTTCTTTGGTATGTTTTCCATCTTCTCTTCAGCCACTGGGATACGCACTGGGACCACTATCTCTGGAGACCTCAAGATGAGGATGTCCAGGCACAGAACACACTCTCTAACCCCTCTTCTCTCTCCACTAATGGTACAACTTTTGTTTCCAGCACCCTGCTACAGCTATCCCCAAAGGAACCCTCTTTGCCAACCCAGGAACCACACTTTCCTACCTGGGCATCTCTGCCACTATGGGTAAGGCCCTCCACTCCTGCCTTCTGTGCAGAATGACCCGGAGCCCTGGTTTCTACCTCACTGAGGTGGTAGGGTATAGGCTCCTGCATGACTAGAGATATTTCAGGAAATAGGACTGGCATGAGTTGTACAATGAGAGCTGCCTGGGGCCAGAGTGCCAGTATGGCTGGGATTTCAACAGTTGTCGAGGGCAAGGGTCCTGCCTCTATATGCTCTCTAATCACTACCAGGTGAGTGAACCAGAGGGGATATTCGAGAGATAAATCCTACCTTGTCTACTGCTGGGCATAGAGCAGATGCTCCAAAACCAGTATATGCTTAAGTGGATGCATGTGGACAGGGTAAAACCTTCAAAGATGAGATAAAATTTAATATTCCCTTCAACTTCTGGGAAAGTTAGGAGGTGAAAATATGGGTGGAATACATTGCTTCCAGAATACAGTGATGTCTGCCTCTGCCTACTCTTCTCCTTAGGCCATGAGCATGGTGTCTGCTTTCAGTTTCATGATGTCTGCAGGAATTTTCAGTGCCACCCTGTTCTCTGCCTTTCCTGCTTTGTTTCAGCCCCCAAAGCCTTCTAGGTTAGTTGGTACTTTAGCAAGAGGCTTATGGGAGAAAGGAGAGAATGTAAGTAGACCAGGACAGCCCAAGAGTCTAATCTTTTGAAGAGGAGCAAAAAAGGGTTCAGTCTCAGCAACCAGGAGTTAGATGGTGATGACTGTGGTTGCCTGATATTTAAAAGACAATCCGAGCTCACATAACAAAATTAAAAGTCTGCCCATAAATCAAGGCAAAATTTGGGGAGGGCATCACTCTTCTGTCATTCTTCACTCTGTTTTTCCCATTGCACATTCCCAGAGATCTTACCACACGCTACTCCTTCGATCCTTTCTTCCTGTTAAGATCCTTAAGCTCCCTCAACTCTTCCCTCTGTGTTCCCCCATTCTTTCCTGCCTCTTTAGAGGAGGAAGAAGCTATCATTCTTCCTCTTCCTGGGACCCTCCCCTGATAATTACCATGCTTTCTTATAGTAGCTGTGCCAGGACAAACGGTACCCAGTCATTGGCTTTTAAGGGACAGGTTAAGGCAAGAACAATGAACCTGTGTGAGGTTATCTGTTCACCTTCCTCACTGCTGTTGATTTCATCCTTACTGGTGAGTATTCCTCTAACTCTCACACACAGCTTCATTAATCACCTTTCTCCTCATGCCCCGCCCCACTGCCCTACCTCTAGCTTTTAGGGTTGGACCCCAAAGCCTCTTTTCTATCTCTCTAGTCCTGAAAGTAGATGAAAAGTCTGCTACATTGGTGGTAGTGAGGGTGGAGTGTGTAGAAGGTGAAGAAGGGAGTAGGGAATAGGGAGTATGGGGAAAGGGAAGCCAGAAGATAATAATGCTCTTGACTCTCCAGACCCAGATCCCAAGATTCCAGTTTGCAGACTGACTCCCTTACCTTTCATCTCTCCCAAAGCTGGTCTGCATACTGTTACTCCCATTATCTCTTACTTTTTCCTCCGCTCCTATGCCCTCATCAACTTGGGCTGTTTCTACACCTCCTTTAGCCAGTCGCCTGGTCAGTATGGGCAGGTATTGGGGTCAGGCCCAGGACTTGGAGGACCTAGGAGAGTTGAAGGAGCATCCTTGGGGTACAAAAGGGGGTGATACTGAGGCTTGGACAAGGGATAGGCTGCATTCACTCGCCCCTGCAAGCTGGCACCCTTCCTTCTGATGGTACAGTTCCTGGCTCTCCCCGCAGGGCCGTCTGCTTTCCCGGCTCACATTCATCTTCACTTAGTGGACAGTGCTTATTGCTGTATTATTCTTTTGCTGCTGCTCTCTCCATTCTGTAAGAAACCTGGTGAGTAAGGGCAAACCTGGTGGGTAAAGGAGTGAGGGAGTGAGAAACAGCAAGACGCTGACCCCCATAAGAAACCCAGAACTACCAACAGTAAATCTCCATTTCTTCTTCTTCCTGACAAGTGAGGCCTTTCCTCTGATCACTCTACACCACCTCTTCCACTGCACAGATGTGAACTGGGCTCCTTGGTCCATCTGGGCACTTACCACAAGGCACCATCCTCCTCAGGAAGCCTGTCCAACGTGCAGGATTGCGTCAAGAAATTCTGGTGAGGGAGTCTCTAGACCAGAAGTTGAAAACTGATGGCCTCTGAATTGGATCTTACCTGCAAATAAGTTTTGTTCAGATTGCAGAGCATTTACAATAAAAAAATAATAATAATAATTGCCAACATTTAACATGAATCTAGTAGTGCTGGGCCTCCATCCTACATGGCACACTAGTTAGAGCTAAGTCACTGCTGTCCCATGAGACAAGGCAGGTACTCTCCACTTTGCCACAGTTTCCACCTGGTCGACTTTATTTTTTGATTATTATATGACTGGTTCTTGCAGGCTTGAGTTTTCAATCTCTGCCCTAGACATAAAAGGAAAATAGTTTCCTAAAATCTGGGAGGGGAAGTAGGAGGAAAAAGAAAGGAACAGAATTCTAGTGGGGTAGAGAAAGCAGGGTTCCCTGAAGAGGGGGTGCTCCATGGTAGGACAAAGACCACAGGAGCCAGTTTCCCTCATCGTGCTGTGATATGGAGAAGCCTCTCTAATACTCTTGGTTTCTCCCTAAAATCTTCTCTAAAATCCTCTAGTGGGAAGAGCTGACCACTTCTCTGAACACTATCTCTGCCTTCCTCTCCACAGGCCACAGTGCCTGGTACTTACTGGCCCCTGTAGCCAGCAGCCAGCCCTGGTGGATTTCATGGGGTCCTTCACCAAAAAGATGAGTTCAATGATCTGTGGAAATGCAGTCTTAGTAAGAGATACGGGAACAGACTCTCAGCAGGAGGGAACTGAGGCTGGAGGCTGTAGACTAGAGGGAAGAAAAAGGGGTGAGGAGATCAACAGACCAGTGAGTGAGCTTGGAAAATTTGGAGAGTAGCGAGAGTCAGGCAGAAGGATGCTTTAAGGGAGGGACAGTCCTAGCCAACATTTCTGCCTCCCCCTGAGGAGCCCCAAGCCATTCAAGAGTCTGAGAATCATGTCAACTGCTTAACCTCTGAGAGATTCGTTCATTCTATAGTCATATTTGCCCAGAGCCTCATGCAGTTCAGCCTACCAAACCGCATCCCTTCTTGTCACCTTCTTGCCCAATGTACTATATTCCCTTCTTTCCTCATTGCCCTTCCTTTCTGGTTATAGATTTGGGCCAGCTGAAGCACAAATGTGCTGGTATTGAGATATAAGCAAAATTGGCAGGAGGTGCTGATATCCAATATGGAGGTATGTGGGCATTCTACAATAAGTGGCAGGTAGAGGGGTTAAGGAGGTGAAGATGGGCTTAGAAGTGGTCAGGAACCAGGGGGAGAGGAAATATAATCATGGTGAAGCCGTGTTCCCTCCAGCTGTCTAGCAGTACCTGTGTCCCCAGGAACAGGAGCTTCCTTATCTTCAACTCTTGCTCTTAATCTCTTTGTCCCCCATAAAGCGATGCCTTTGACTACAAGACATGGTGTCTGCCTCTTAAGGATGCCACTGGGGTTAAACCTGGCTACCTAACTAACATCAAGCTTAAAGTGAGCCAAAATGGGGTAGGCCTAAGAGAAGGATAAGATGTGGGAAGTATAGAAATTGGCTGTCAAAGACAGTCACTGTGTACTAATTTAGAGTTATTAAATAAGTGTACTTATTTAGTTACCAAAGGTTGAGACTGAATAGAATCAGGTATCAGGATAAGATAAAATTGAATTTTGCTTTGAGGATCCTCCCTGTATGTTAAGTTCTCCTGACACCTCAGAGGGTAGGGGAAAGCTTTAAAGTTATCTTCTCAATTCAGGTGATAGAAATAGGTGGACAAAGATATAAAATAGGTTGAAGGTGAGCTGGAGTGTGGTCAGGAGGGGGTATGGCCCAACTAGAGAGCAAGGTTTCTGGAACTACTCCAATTCTAATAATAGCACACAGCTAACTAGCTAACACTTGGGCGTCATTGATGGGTAGGATCGAAGAAAGATGCAAAAAGACAACATTCTTTTGTGTTATATTCCTACCTTTCCCAGTAAATCTAAGGTTTTTGGACACCATAGGTGTGGACACTCAGAAAGGAGAGATCAATCCTAAAACAGACCCTGTTTTAGGGGAAGTAGATTTGGGGAGTGGGAAAGAGGAGCAGAAAACACAAAAGGGAGTGGGGTTAGTCAATGGAGAGAGAAGCCACATGACATATCTCTGGAATAGCAAAAATTTTCTTTTGGGAGAGGGAAGGTATGATATTGAGTTGGAGGCAATTACTCAGCTGGACAAGGAATTTGTCTCATTCTTTTCTGCTCTTTTTTGGGGTCATATCTTGGCAGCCTCAAACCCTGTTCCAATGCAAGCAGGGCTGGTGGACAGTGGATGTGAATTAGCTCAGCGACGATGGAGGTAGGGACTTTATGGCTCTCTAAAAAGCTCCAGCTCCTCTCCAAATTCCAGAGTAGAACAGAGAAGGGAGGATAGGGAAATAAAGAGCAGACAGAACAAACTGTATTTACAAAGCACACACTGCCCTCCTCCCATCTCAGAGGCATTCATAATTTGTTCTTTTGCCCCCAAGAGAAGTCAGGCAGGGAAGCTGCTTATCTGCTCTCCTCTTATCCTCACCAGGCTGCCTATGCTCATCCCCTATCTACTGACATGCAAGATAAAAATGGGCTTGATGTGCTGTAAGTTTTGTGAGCAGTCCCTCTGGGAAGCTGGAGGAGGAACACAAAGAATAAGAAGCAGGACATGAAAACCCAAGGTTATGGCCTAACATGCAGAGGACAGGAAGGGGAGGGGAGGGTACTGAGCCACTTGTTGCAGACGGAGGGAGAGGAAAAGGTGCTGGGAAAGGTAGGCAAAATGTCCAGTTTCTCTCTTGTCTTGCCTTAGGATACGTTCTCCCCTCAGAAGGTTCAGGCTTGGCTTCCAACATGTGACTACTACCTGAGATCACAGGCAAATCTCAAGTGATGAGGTCAGAACCAACCTCCCTAACCCATACACTTCTTTCCTGCAGGTCTCCCTTCCTTCTTCACAGCTAAGAACCTCACGGAGCAAGTGTCAGACAAGCTATAACTTAACTAAATATTCTGGTAAGCAAGAAGAAAGAAGGAGCTGAAATCTGATGACAGAGGACTGTAGTGGGAAGTACTAGCTGTGGGGAAACAGTAGCTGTCGTCTCTACCTACATCTGAATGGGTTTATGGTTTCCAATGTGGAAGAAATGCAAGTTTAGGCAGCAAAACTGAAGAGTAAAGAAGCCCTATTATTCCTAAAACCCCAAGAACAGAAATTTCATCAGACAACATATACTCTCTGCTCCTTGCTAAATCTGGGGTTTCTTTTCTCTGCAGCCAAAAGGCTTTTGAAGACTTGGTGGCTTTACACCAGTTGCAGAAGCCACCACCAAAGGAGGACCTGGAATCTACCTCTCAATACTCTTGCTCCTTCAGGCAACATCTCTGAGCAGGACCTGCAGGCAAACCAAAAGTATGTATATAGGAACAGGCTGCCAAGTGGGGCAATTGTCCCAGAGTAGGAACTGACAATGGCACTCACCTTGTTCTCTGCTAATTCTTCCTAACCATGCAGTGGGAGTGGCATATGTGTCTTCATGAAGTCCTATGGCAATATTCCCAGGATGCTGTACTCACAGTCATGTGAGTCTGGGAAAATTCCAAACTTCAGCGCATAGATGCCAGGTGTGGGGCTAGTCCAAAGGCTAAATAAGCTGAAGAACAGGTTCCATTCCTCACAGGAGCCTACCTGTGATCCCTTGGTCAGTCTGCCCTGGGGTCCTATACATGACCTCGCTGGAGATGCTGTCCAGGGATCTAACATTCCCCACTGCCTTCACATGTGGAAATCAGCAGGACATGCCAATGCTGTGAGAGACTCAGGAGACCGAGAAAGGAGGAGGAGCCCACAATTGAAGACTCATGGAGCCATGATTTCAGTCTCTTGGCTCCACCGAGTCTATCTGTGGGAAGCCTCAGGGAAGAGCCCAAAGCTCTCTCAGGAAGGGACTCCCCTACTCAGCAATACCAACAGGGGCTACATCACCAAGGAAGGTCCTCCCTTTGAAATCCATTCCACCTGTAATGTTAATAAAAGCTTCAAATAAATACCTGAGGCTAATGTATAATAACATACTTGATTCTCATGTATAAAATTAACTGTCCAAGCCTAGAGGGGCAGGGATCATTCCTGTTCTCAAACATATCCAAGAGAAATTTATCTTTTTTCTACTTGCATCCCAAACACTCTATCTTCCTTTCCAAAGTTTCCAACTTTTTAAATTAAATTTATTGGGGTGACGTTGGTTAATAAAATTTTATAGGTTTCAAGTGTATAATTCAATAATACATCATATGTATGTTGCATTGTGTTCACCACTGAAAATTAAATTTTCTTCCATCACCATATATTTGATTCAAGTTTTTGATTTTGAACTTCCATGTCTTAGCACATTTTCTATGCATTTATGTGTCTATCCTTTGTAAATGAAAAAGTGTTTATCACTATTTTCTACTTAGTAAGTAATCAGAAACTTACTCTTTTCCCAAACTCAAATAATCCTAATTCTTTTCATCTTTTGGCCCAAGCCTTACTTTATAGTCCTTTGATTATTTCTTTGGTTTACTCCCCATCAACTTATTCATTCACTCAGCAAATACTGACTGAATGTCTGCTATGTGCCAGATCCTATTCTAAGTCCTGGGAGATATGGCAATGCATATAACAAGATAAAAATTCCCTCTTCTCTTGGAGTTTATATTCTTTTTTAAAATTTATTTTTCAATTGTAGTTGACGTACAATATTAGTTTCAGGTGTACAACATAGTGATTAAACATTTACCTTATGAAGTGATCACGCTGAGAGTTTATATTTTCATGGGAAACAGATAATGATCATAAATAAAACTATTAGATTAGAAGATAAGTGCTGTGAAGAGAAAAAAAATAGGGAAGGGGCTAGGAAGTGCTGGAGGAATGCAATTCTAAGTAGGGTTGTCAGGAATATTTCACTAAAAAGAAAAAGAAAAAAAGTTGAGCAAAGACTTAAAGACTATGACAGAATGAGCTATACGTGGAGAAAAGCTTTCCAGGCGGAGGGAGCAACAAATATAAAGACCTTGAGGGGGTCAACACACCTTCAGCGTGTAAGGCCAATGTTGCTGGAGCAGAGTGAACAAGGAGGTAAGTAGCAAGAAATGAGATCAAAGCAGTAA